TTTTGCTGGCTGTAGCAGCGCTATAGCGCTGCTATAGCGCTGCACAGCAAAAACGCATAAAAAGCGCTTTTCCAAATTATGCGTCCATTTTACATATTTAGCGTATCTGTTCTTAAACTTGAACTAGCACATTCCATCCGTCTTTGACTTTGTACAGCTAAATGAGCTGTACTTGGATTTTAAGTTTTTAAGCGAAAATGAAAGAGGAAAACGACTTCCTATTCTCACTTATATGTCAGTCGAGTAATAAACAAAAAAGTTTAAAAATGTTTATTTTAAAATGTTTTAAAAAAAGCATTTTTAAACTTCCTTGTTTATTACTGAGACTGACGTATTAACCGCTGCTGCTCTTTCCTTTAAATAAGGATTAGGAAGGATGAAGTTCTTTGCTAGACTGATTCATGCTGGCAAAAAGGGATTAATGCTCTCAAAGATAATGTGCGTGATTCTAAGCTGACCAATCAGTTAATTTTTTAGCGCACTACTACGGCTTAAACCGTTTCGAAGAAGTATCAGTGGAAGAGTGCAACAGAAATATCCGTAAAATTATTGACGAGCATTATCATTCCAGTTGCGCTCAAAGGCTCCACAACTCAACACTGGAACTTATATCAAATGCCACATTTCTTAGGTATGAAAACTGAGATATCAGGGATGTATAAAGTTTGCTTCATGCGTTTCTTACAGTATCGCCGAGAAGGACCTTCTTGCTGCGTCGAAAAAGATGCTTTGCATTCGAATGTTATTTACTGGGGCTCCTTTTTGTTGCCTGCCTTTTGTTGGAGCATTTTTACTTTTGTCACCTTTTCGTGATATATTTGCTTAATGCAAAAGAGTCAGAGCAATAAGATTTGTGCTACTTTAAAATAGTATTTAGCTTTTTTGCGCCTCCTCAATTCAAAATTTGTAGTTTTCCACGGTCAGCTCAAACAAAATTTCACAGTTTTTTACATCACACAGCTAAAAACCTTTTTCGCATAGGAACAAATCAGATTTCAAAAAGTACACAGCCATGTTTATTTATTCCAGTAAACAACATATGACAAATAAAAAAGTCAGGAATTTTTAAATAATAGTGTATAATTTTTGTTAATTTTTGCATCCTTTGTTTTTTCAAAAAAAAAATGTTTGAATTCAGGTATCTCGACTCACCTGAAGGCAATCGCAGTTTACTGCGCGTCATTTTCGGCCTGCAAGATGTAAGTTTTACGTAATTGCTGCCAGCTGGATGTTTTTTTTTGGCACTTTTGGCCGTCATTGGTGAGTTTGGGAGTTTGTTTTGGCGGCAATTGAGCCGATGAAAAAAAATTTTAAGCTGGAAGCGGACATCGAATTTGTTGCGCCGGCACAGCGAGAAATTGACAGTTATGTGGCCAATGGTCTGCCAGTTTATGCGTATTCATTCGATTACTTCCCAAAATCGCCGATTTATGAGGAAGAACGGAAAATGTTTACTATTTTTGGACAAGAATCTGTTAAAGTCGTCCGAAAAGAGCTTCAGATACCCCGTATGTCTTACATTCGTCGAATAAAAACATTCGCATAAGAATTTCTTGCATTGGAGATGCTTTATAACATGAGCTATTTTCTAGTTTTTACCTGCGTTTTATATAAATTTTAGTGGCTCATAAATCTTCACTTAAACTGGATCTCTTATTTTAGCTGAATATTCCAGAATGCGCCAGTGAAAATCTCACATGCGATAAAAATTTATTTTTTATTTCTTAAAAATATTCCAGAATGCGCCAGCTTTTTTGTCTTGTGTTGGGTTCTTCGTTTTACGTATCCAGTGACATTTGCTAAAATCCAGTATTTTTCTTCGTTGAATTTGAAATTTTTCTAACACTTTTGTATCAAAATATACATCTGCTACTACGAATGCTTTGGCGGCAAAACAAGGCGTTTTTACTTGTAGATACACCATTTAATGATAGTAATAAAACCGTAAAACAAAGCAAAGCGGAGGATTTTATAAAAAAAAAGAAACTGTTGAAAATTGCCAGAATTTCATCCTCACTGATAAATTAAAAAAAAAAATCAAAGACATGCGTTATGCAGGGGAAGGCAGATCGAGAGCATTTCATGGTCTCGACCACGCTTATATATTTACGGATGGCTATAGTAGCAACCTGCAGGTGGAGCCATTCACGAAGCGTGATCGACATATGGCTAAGATGCTTGCTGCTATGATTACCAATTTTGTCAAAAATGGGTTAGTTGTTAAATTGTTTTGTTGGTAACCTCGCAAGAAAGAACCATCGTCAGCTGTGCCAACGTGTGGTTGTCTTTGGCATGTGCTACCACTCAAACTACATCTTAATGCACCATTTCGGTTGACAGAAAAAAAACCCAGGCTGGAACGCACTGGGCGGACCTGTGCGATCATGTGTTTTTGCACCGGTCTTGTAGCATTCAGGTCATTAACTGCATGAATAGTTATTGCTTTACAACTACCTTTTGTACACACTAGCATAAATCACCATAAATTTTGCATAAAAAGTAAATATACAATTCCCATTTAACGGTCGTTCTTTAAAAATAACCTAGCTGTTCAGTGAGAAATTTTTCCGCCAAAACTTT